CGGCCGAGGTCACCGAGAAGATCGGGGTCTTCGCTGGCAGGCGAAGGACTAAGCTGATCATCGTTGAAGATGAGGAGGCGGTGATCAAAATCCTCTTGAAGAAATGGACAAGCGCCCAAAGGCAATTACCACGTACCCACCGTATTTGTCTTGATTGGCTGGTCAAGGTTATTAGGTCTGAGCAGTCCCAAATACGCCACTACAAAGCTCGGAAGTGGCCCTCGTAGCTCGGCCTGTGGCGCTCGCAGCTCAGTTGGTGGACCGGCAGAAGACCTGTTCAACAGACGACCGTTCAACAGACGACCAGTTCAAGAGATACCAGTTCAACAGACAGCCGGTTCAGCAAAGCCCAGTCCAACGAAGAGCGGTTCAACAGGACTGGTTCCGCAGAACCGGTTCCGCGGAACCGGTTCCACAGGACCGGTTCCGCAGGACAGTTTCCACATAATTGGTTTCGCCAGCCCGGTTCCGCAGGACCGGTTGCACAGGCCAGGTTCCGCACGACCGGGTCCACAGGACAGGACCAGTCCATTGGCGCTCCATGCAGGCATTCCAGGCGCTCTGGACACTCCCGGTGCTCCAGGCCAGGCACTCGAGCCAGGTGCTCCGGCACCCGCCCGCCCGCCCGGCCCAACCCGCCCGTTAGGGTGTTCGCGTCACATTTCGGCGATGCGCAATACTTTAACGTCTCGCCCGCCCAACCCGACCGGCCCGCCCGTCAGGGTTCGCCCGCCCGACCCGACCCGTCCCGCCCGTGAGGATCCGCCTGGCCCGTCCCGCCCGTTCGGGCACTCGCGTTCCATACTCGATGACGTATCATACATAAATCTCCCGGCCGCCCGACCCGACCTGACCCGCCCGTTAGGGTCCGCCCGCCCGGCCCGACCCTTCCCGCCTGTTATAACACGGTCCGCGCCCGCCCGCCGGACCCGTCCAGCCCGTTGGGGCACTCGCGTGCGATGTCGACGATGCATCATCCCTTAATGTCCCACCAGCCCGACCCGACCGGCCCGTTAGGGTCCGTCCGCCCGACCCGACCCGTTGAGGCCCGCCCGACCCCTCCCGCCCGTTAGGGTACTCGCGTGCGAACTCGATGACGCATCATACTTTCATGTCCCGCCCGCTCGACCCGACCCGACCCGCCCGTTAGGGTCCGCCTGCCCGCCCGACCCGACCCGTCTGTTAGGATACTCGCGTCCCACCCTGATGATGCGCCACGCATTCATGTCCCGCCCGCCCGACCCGACCCGCCCATTAGAGTCCTGCCCGCGCGAGCGGACCCGCCCGCCCGCCCGATTCGACCCGCCCCTTAGGGCACTCGGGTGTCCGCCGGACCCGTCCCGCCCATCAGGGTACTCGCGTGCCAACTCGATGATGCATCATACTTTCATGTCCCGCCCGCCCGACCCGACCCGCTCATTAGGGTCCGGGTCCGCCCGCCCGACTCGACCAGTCCCACTCGTTAGGGTCCGTCCGCCCGCCCGACCCGACCCGCCCTTCAGGATACTCGCGTCCCACCTCGATGATGCGCCATGCATGAATGTCCCGCCCGCCAGACCGACCCGCCCGTGAGGGTGTACTCGCGTGCCATTTTGATGATGCGCAACTTGTTGATGTCCCGCCCGCCCGACCCGACCCGCCCGTTAGGGTCCCGCCCGTCCGACCCGACCCGCCCGTTAGGGCCCGCCCGCCCGACGGATCCCTTACCCCTCCCTTGACTCCGGATCCGCCCCACTTTGGGGAAATTCGTAAGTAGGGCTTGGAATTTCCGCCTTCCTTTGCAGGCCCCGCTGATGCCAATTTCCGCCCTATTTTTCTGTTGCTGTTTCCGCCCTACTTCTGTGGATTTCCGCCCTACTTTATGTTGGGTGCAGAAATTTCCGCCCTACTCTTTCGGCCTCGTATAGGTGGATTTCCGACGCAATTTGAAGCTGGAAAAAAAGCCAAAGTAGGGCGGATCTGGAGTCAGGGTCCTTTCTTCTCTCGGCACTAATGTATGCTACTTCTTCTCGCCCCTCAGCCCTCTTTCCCTCATCCCTCCACCTCCGGGCTCATAAATGTCCGCACTAGAGGAGGTGATCCGATTTGGTTTGGCCCGTTTCCCCGAGACTTCCCGTGTGCTCAGTAGCACTTGCACTGTTCGTCGCAAGTACAGGGTGGTTTTTCTGGGCCGTTTCAGTTGACCTTTCCTCCTCCTCCTCCTCCTCCTCCTCCTCCTCTTCCTCCTCCTCCTCCTCCTCCTCCTCCTCCTCCTCCTCCTCCTCCTCCTCCTCCTCCTCCTCCTCCTCCTCCCCCCCCCTTCTCCCTCCGTCTTCCCTCATCCCTCGCACCCCCTACTTCTCTTCATCCCTCATCCTTCCGCCTTCCCTCCCTCATCCCTCCCTCTCTTATCCCTCATATATCATTCCTCGGGCCCTAATCCTCACCTCCCTCCCTCATGCTCTCCTCCTTCGTCCCTCCCCCCGCCGCCTCCTCCTCCCCCTCCCCGCCTCCTCTCCTCCTCCCCCCTCCCCTCCTCCTCCTCCTCCTCCGTCTCCCTCTCTTTTCCCCCTACTTTCTTTCATCCCTCATCCCTCATCCTTCCGCCTTCCCTCCCTCATCCCTCCTTCCATATCCCTCATCTATCCTCCCTTCACCCTAATCCTCACCTCCCTCCCTCATCCCTCTCTCATCCCTCCCTCCCGCTCTCCTCCTTCGTCCCTCCCTTCCGCCTCCCTCATCCCTCATCCCTCCCATCCTCCCTCCCTCCCTCCTTCCCTCATTCCTCCTTCCCTCATCTTTCATCCCTCCTTCATTCCTCACGCATCCTCCCTCGAGAAGTGGTATTGGGGACGCGGGCTCTGGGGAAACGGTTCCGGGGAGGAGGGTGCACATAGGAAACGGTTCCAGGGAAGAGGGTAGAGGGTTTGGGGAAACGGATCCATCAGGGAAGCGGTTCTGGGGAAAGGCCCCAGGGAAACGAATTTGGGGCATCAGTTCCGGAGAACGGTTCCAGGGAAACCGCTGGGGTAACGGTTCCGGGGAAACGGTCCTTCGGAAAGAGGTCTCCGGGGAAGAGGTCTCCGGGGAAACGGCCCTCCGGGGAAACGGTTTTTTGGGAAGCGGTTCTGGGGAAAAGGTTCCCGGGGAAACGGTTTTGTATCTCCTCGTACCTCGGCTAGTGGTTCTCGTAGTCCTGGAGGGTTTCTCCGAAGGGCTTAGGCGATCGGTCCTCCTCCTCCTCCTCCTCCTCCTCCTCCTCCTCCTCCTCCTCCCTCTTGCTCCTCCTCCCCCCTTCTCCCTCCTCCCTCCTCCCTCCTCCCTCCCTCCTCCCTCTTCCCTCCTCCTCCTCCTCCTCCTCCTCATCCCTCTCCTCCTCCTCCTCCTCCTCCTCCTCCTCCTCCTCCTCCTCCCTCCTCCTCCTCCCTCCTCCTCCTCTCCTCTCCTCTCCCCTCCTCCTCCTCCCTCCTCCCTCCTCCTCCTCCTCCTCCTCCTCCTCCTCCTCCTTCCTCCTCCTCCTCCTCCTCCTCCTCCTCCTCCTCCTCCTCCTCCTCCCTCCTCCTCCTCCTCCTCCTCCTCCTCCTCCTCCGCCTCCCTCCTCCTCCTCCTCCTCCTCCCCCCTCCTCCTCGGGTCGCCTACGGCCCCGGGGGAAGCCGTGCTGCCTCCGTAGCTCAGCCTGTGGTCCTCGTAGCTCGGGAGGCGGCCCTCGCAGCTCTGCCGGTGGCTTCCAAGAGCTCAGCAGGTGGCCCGGGCTCCCCGCAGTCCTCCCCAGCTTCTGCCCTCTTGGCCTCCTCGTCTGCCTCCTTCGCCTCCCCGCGGTCCAGGTCGGAGTCGTCGGCTGCCAGGTCGTAGCACTCCACTCTCAAGTTGCCCCGAGGAGAGGAGGAGGAGGAGGAGGAGGAGGAGGAGGAGGAGGAGGAGGAGGAGGAGGAGGAGGATGAAGAACCTGAGGGAGATGGGACCAGTGGCTATCAAAGCTCTCGAAGCTTTCTTGCTGTCGTAACTCTGCTAGTGGCCCTCGAAGCTCAGCAGGTTGGCTTCCGTAGAACATCTGGAAATGCGAACCAACATCGTAGTGGCATGCGCCCCCATGGTGGCTGCATTCCTGGCCGTACTGACCGCACTGGCCGTGTTCTCGGTTGCTGCCGGTGCCGTGCAGGAGGTCGTATGGGTTTCGGGCTGGCATTTCTTTGACGATGTACTTGACCTCTTGCGCAGGAGGCGTTGAAGCTGTAGTCAGGGTCCCTGTCTTCTGCCACGGGATGCCTGAGCGTAGGGCTTCACCTCAATGCAATCCGCCGCCGTCGGATCGCCCTTCCTGGCGCACTTGTTACCACTTGTTGTCGTGCTTGCCAGACCGCGCCCACGCCTCGCGTGCATTGCGACGCCGTTGACGGGCGAGACGGCGTGCAGTTGCAGCGCCGTAGAACATTGCTTCGTAGGCTCGCGCGCTGGGGGTGCAGGAAGGCCCTGACGTTGGGCGGCCCCCCGGAGGCCATGGCCACCCGCTGGTGGACGATGTTGCGGTCGCGGGTGATCACCTCGTGGGGCGCGCTCCGCGCGCCTCCGATGGCGCGGCGGCGCGCTGAGGCCGGCCCCCCCGAGGGCGGCCGCGCGGGCGGGGAGCCGCGCCCGGGGGCGAGTGCGCGGGGTAGAGTTCCTGCAAACGGCCTTCCTCCTCTTCCGCCTCCTCCGCCTCCTCCTCCTCCTCCTCCTCCTCCTCCTCCTCCTCCTCCTCCTCATCCCCCTCCTCCTCCTCCTCCTCCTCCTCTTCCTCCTCCCGCTTCCCCCTTCTGCCTCCCCGAGGTGAGGACAGGCGGAGAAGGAGGAGCAGCAGCAGCAGCAGCAGCAGCAACAGCAACAGAAGCAGCAGGACGAGAAGGAGGAGGAGGAGGAGGAGCAGCAGCAGCAGCAGCAGGAACAGCATCAGGACGAGGAGGGAAGTCCGATGAAATCGACGACGCCTCGCCTCATCACGTGCTCCAGGTCTCTATGCGAGGCGGGGGGGGCGGCTGCCGAGGTCAAGATCTACACCGTTCAGAAGCCCATGATGGGCACCGGCGGGAAAGGGAAAGCTTGTCCGTGCGCACCGAGCGCGCCTCGTGAAATTGGCGGGCTACCTCGCCTCCGTTCGCCCTGTCCCCTCACATCATGTCCCCGTCCGTCTTCGCCGCCCTCTTCTTCTGCCTACCTGCCTCCTCACCTTCGCTTCCCCTTCTCTGTCGCGAAGGGACTTCGAGCCCGTTTTGGTATCTCTTGGCAGCAACTGTGCTCCCGGCTGCCCTCCAGGCATGACGGCCTCGTTGTCGTCTGACGACAAGGACAACGTCCATTACGTCTACGCCCGCGACCTAGCGCCTTCCGACGGTACGAAGTTGCCTCGACAGTCTTGTCTGGACCGCTCTTTTTCATCTCGTGCTTCTCCTGCCCTCTTCTCCTCATCCTCTTCCGCCGCCTCCTCCCCCTCCTCCTCCTCCTCCTCCTCCTCCTCCTCCTCCTCTTCTTCCGTAGCCATTTTGGCTCAAGGCTATGAACCGTCCCGACGGCCGCGAGTCTTTCGGGGCGTCCTCTGAGCGCGAAGGAGGTTCCGCTTTGTGGCCACGTGCATTCCCTGTTCGCCTGTCTCTCGCACTCCTGTGCTGCCTCCACTGCGGGACTTGGGCCCCCGCCAACTCTTCCCCTGTCTCGTCCAGACCACTTCCGATGGCTGATGGCGCCGCCGATTGTGAGCTCTCCGCCTCCCAGGTTGAGGTGCTGGAGTCCATGCCGACCTTCCCTTCCCAGGAGAGCAAGGCGGGCAAGGCAAAGGCTCCGCCCCTCCGCGCACGGCCAGCTGTGCTGCTCACAAGCGTCGGGCTCTTCCTCCTCACGGCGCTCATGCTGTCACTTTCGTGGACGATGACATGCCCCCGCGCCTCGACGACGACGACGACGCCTCGGAGGACTACATCAAGCAGTGTTGCGCCGGCATGTTGGCCAGAATGCGTGATGAGCTCGCCTCCGACATCAGCAAGTCCCTCACGGACACCATCAAGCAGAATATTGAAGTGCAGAACAAGCCAACCATCGAGCTGCTGGACCAGCCTCGTGCCCAGCTGGCACAGCCTCCTGCAGATCTCGACCAGAAGATCCTCTCGACTGTCCGCCCCCAGCTCGACACCACTACTCGCCGCCTCCAGGCGCAGCTCGATGCCCAGCAGGTGCAACTCAACGAGACTGACGGCCGCGTGTCCAAGGTGGAGGCTCAGATGCAGGACATCCTTGCCCAGGTGGAGGCGCTCAAGCGTGAGCTCCACTTGGCGGAGCAGCGCCCTCGCGCTCCGCTCTCCCAGCCGAAGGGTTTTGAAAGGGAGGTGGACGCCTCGCTGGTCGCTGCCATGGCCCAACGCCCTACCACCACTGCCTGTGTCGAAGCTGAACTACGTCCCTGGATCTCCTCCCTCGGCCTCGCCGACGATCTCTACGACCTGGTCCCCGTTGGCCCTGTGCCGACCAAGAAGTTCCACATCCGTTTCAAGGGCCTCATCGCCGTCGCTTCCAGGATGGCGGCCAAAGTACTCGGCGCCTTGCGCTCCGAGGGCGTCTGGAAGGAGTTCACGGTCGAGGTTCCTGGCAGCCCTCGCTGCCGCATCCACCTGGGCCCCGACAAGTCGCCACGCCAGATCCGCAGCGAGATTCTACTACGAAGGGCACGCGCCATCATCGCTGAACGACACCCGAACCTCCGACTATTCACTGACAGGCAGCGTGCCACCCTTTCCATTGGATGGGATCGTATCATGCGTGTGGAAGTCCATCCTGGGAACAAGCCCGCCAAGTTCTACTGGGACGCCCAGCAGCTCGCCAAGCACGACCTCGTCAAAGCCGAGGTCGTGTCGCTGCTCGCCCCCCTTGTCGAGCCCGAGGCGGAACCGCAGTGGTGCCTTTGACGTATGGAAGTTGTTCAAGTGTACATCCCCTTCTCCTACCTCACCGGTGTGTGCCATGAGGGTTGTCACGTGGAATGCGCGGGCATTGCTCCAACACGCTGGCAAGAATGGCGCTCACAAATTCAACTACCTACTCCGCCTTCAGCCTGCTCACTCCATTGTGTGCCTGCAGGAGGTCAGGCAAGACGCTCTTCAACTTCGCGAGTTTCTCGGCCCTTTGGGTGAGTCGCTGACGGTGCACTCGTCATTTTGTGGTGACTCTGGAGCGGACCGTGTCCATGGGGGTGTGGCCGTTCTTCTTCCCCAGTTTTGTCAGGCAGCTGGAGAACGTGTGCGAAGTCGCGCGGTGGCTCTCGTGCCTGGACGTGTTCTGCGGGTCACAGTCGAGCGCGGCCCGATTTGCATGGATATCTTTACCATTCACAACCACGGCCTGAAGCGTAAGCAGGTCAAGGAGATCGTCGAGACCATCCTCGAGGCGCGCGCTGCCGCGCTCAGGGCGCCCTCCCAGCGGCTCGCGCTGGTCGTGGGCGACTTCAACTTCTCTGCTGAAGACGCTGTGGTCCTTCACCTACCACAGGCCGCAGTTCGGCGTGCTGCACGTCAGCATCATGGGCAGGCTCAAGTTTGGCGACGGGCTCTCTCGCAGCTCGTCGAAGTGGAGTGCGATTTGGGGTCGCACTAGGAGAAAAAGTCAAACTCTGAGGCCGCGATCGACCGTCTCCTCCTCTCTCTCCCTGGTTGGATGGTTTGTCAACATCATCTGCAGGCTGCCATTGTTGACTCTGCAGCTGCTGTTTCGGATGCCATTGTCTCGGATCATGCTGCAATTGCGGTTACCATTACCCCCCGTGCCGCTCGTCCCCCCGCCGAGCGTCCTCTCGCCAAACATCTCTTCAATGACCAGTGCTACCTGAACCGCATTCGTGCTATGGTTGATTGTGCTGATTGGGACAGTATGTCGCCTCCACATCGATTGGAGCACTTTAAATACCTCATGAAAGAAGCTGCTCGCGAGGCCCGTGATAATGATTTCCGACGACGCCCCCATCATCCATCCACTCTGTTGCAGCTTGCCCGCTCGCTGGCCAGAGTTGTGTGGCGTCAAGATGTGAAGCTCGCTTGGAGATTATTAGAATCCCACCCCGTCGCCTCCGATGTCATCCGTGTCCAGGGGCCAGTGGTCGAAATGTTGCACCCTGAATCATTCCATGCCTGGTCCGACCGTCTCCAGTGGGAAGCAGCTGAATGTGCACGTGCTGAGTTGCAGGGAAAGAGCGACTCCCCCCAGGATATGCGATCCACCCGCTTGCAGTTGCGGTCTTTGGAGAGGCGTGCCCGTCTTTGGTCCCCGTTAAATCGACGTGTGTGCCTGTCGGCAGTTACCGATGAGAGTGGTCGTTCCGCATGTGACCCTGCTGAGCGCGTTGACCTGCTGAAGAGCTACTGGGGCCCCGTCTTCCCCAGGAAGCCTTGGGGCCACGACAGAGCCGCCGAGCACGCTGCCAAATCTTTACCTGCAATTGATGATGTGGTTCTCCCCCCTCCCACGCCTCGCATCCTTCGCGCTGTGCTTGCACGTGCGTCCAACTCTGCCACTGGGTGCGATGGGCTCTCCTACACCGCGTGGCGCCCCATCCCCTTCGGCGCCACCATCCTCTGGGACTGCCTCGAGTGGTTGACTAGAGGCCAAGCGTTGTTCGACTCTGCAAGTACCACTCTCCAGGTCTTGTTGCCCAAGAACGCGTCTGAAGATGAGGCTCAGGCTGGCCCGGTCTCGAGGGGAGCGGACAAAAGGAGGGTGCTCGGCCTTCGCAACTGTGATGTCAAGGTCCTCTCGGCCACCATGAACGCCGCCCTCCGCCCCGTCCTCGAGCGCATTGCCCCGCCATGCCAGAGAGGCTTCGTCCCTGGGAGGAACTTTGGCCTGCACGTGCTGGAATTGGATGTGTCGAGCCGTCAGTTTTCGTGTACCCCACATGGCTCTTGGGACCTGCCCATCTTGTACAGCTTGGACTGCGGCCAAGCCTTCCCCTCTCTGAATCAGGAGCTCGTGCTGTTTATTCTTGAGGCCCTTCGTCTTCCCGAGGCCATCTTGAAGTTCGCGGGGTTCCTCTATGAGGCCATCGAGGGCGTAGCGGTCTCCATAGGGCTCCGTGTTCACTTATACTGGGTCCGAAGCGGGATCATCCAGGGGTGCGCTCTTTCGGGTTCTCTCTATGCTATTGCGTCTTCCCCGTTTCTGTACCACCTTGTGCACGTGATCGAAGAGACGGGCCGCGGGCTCGTGCGTGCTTGCGCCGATGACATCGGCGGCGCGCTGATGAGCATAGAAGACTTGGCCTGGGTCGCTCTCGTGATGAGGGAGGCGGAGTTGGTGGCGAACCTTGTCTAGAAGATTCAGAAGTGCCAGATTGCGCCCCTGTCAGCCTCTTTTAGTCCTGCCCTCGCGTCGGAAGCTCTTGGGAGGCTCACCAATACAGTGCCCCACTGGTCTGCCATGAAGATCGTCTCGGAGCTCCTGTACCTTGGGATTTGGCTGGGGCCCTCCGTTGACTCTATGAGGCCCTGGACTGACCCTCTTGCGAAGGCGCGGCTGCGGGCTCGAGCAGTCGGACGTGGCGTCACCCCTGCCAGCCTCTCTTCCATCATCTACAACACCCGGATTGTTAGTACACTCTCTTATGTCAGCCAGTTCTTTTGGATGCCGCGAGCTGTCCTCGCCTGCGAGCTGGGTGTACTCGCACAAGTCTTTCGTGTCGCGCTGGGCACCTTCCCGCTGAGCGCCTGGGTGCAGTTGGATCGCCTGCGCGGCCCGCGTGTCCTGAGCTGGGCTCACCTCAACGTGGCGTCCTTGCTGAGGGCGGCCGCCCACACCTTCCCCCAGCACCAGACGTTGCTGGACGGCCTGCGGGCCCATGCTGTGGCGCTCGCGGACTCCAGGACGTTATACATGGTCGGCTCGGGCGCGCTCTACCCTGGCTTCTGGCGGAGCCCCGCAATTGTGGAGAACCTTGCTCTGGCCCTGGCTGGGCCCGCCCCTGCGGGCCCTTGGGCCCCGCTTCTTCCTCGTGCTCGTGAAGCGCTTGCCGACGCTGCTGATCCCCCACTTGGCGTCCGCCCACGCCCCCAACGAGCTGTCCACCGAGCTCTGCGTGACCTGGCTGCCTGCGCCGCGCCCATGCACGGCTTCCTCCGCACGCGGCTTCAGAAGTTCTTCTTCCTTCGCCACGGTGCTCTCCTCGACCAGATCGATTGGCTGCGCGTCTCAGCCACACTCAACCTGTGCCCGTGCTCTTGGGTATGGGCCACCCTGCGGACCTGGTGCGATGGTTGGCTTACCTCCTCGCGCATTCTTCACCCCGCAGGCAGGCGCGGCTGCGCCCTCGGGTGCTACAACTGTGCTGACTCGCTCCTCCACTACTCACGGTGCGTGCGGATGCATGCGGCGCTGCGCCGAGCCCTCGGGCATGGTTCCCCGTTGGAGCTAGCTGAGGGGTGGGGCCTCGTGGAGCCCTCTACTGCCGCCTTCGGCTTCTTGGCCGCTGCGGTGAGCATGTACAACACGATCCGTCTGATTCCAGACTGGCCGATCTCGGAGCAGGATGCGATGAGCGCCGCGTTGGCGGGCGTGAGGAGCATGCGGATGGCCTCTATTGTAACCTTGCCTGACGACTCGCCCCCGCAGTGGAACCTCCGTTTAATGACGAGACGAAATCGGTGCCCGTCTTCTTCCTCATCGACCTCCTCGTCGTCTTCTTCCGCGCCGTCTGGTACTGGCGAGGATGACTCCGACACTCCCAGCGGCCCTGGCCTGACGCCGAAGCTGATCCCCGAGCCGCAGGACCTTGACTCGGACGGGGACGATCTGGTTTCGTTCGACCTCTGCCCGCGCACCCCTCCGGCGACACCTGGGACCCCATCGACGGCCGTGGCCACCCCCCTGCATGATGTCCACTCGCACGACTTGTACGACTGCGACTGGGAACGGCCGACCCTCACGGAGGTCAGATCGCAAAGTCCTGTCAGCGGGTGCTCCTCGAGCCCGTCTGGCCAGGCTCACGGAGTGAGTTGCGAGGACGTACCTCTGCCGCCCACTGGCCTCAGAACGCAAAGTCCTGTCGGCGGGTGCTCCTCGAGCCTGCCGCATCAGGCTCAGCGAGTAGATTGCGGGGACGCCCCCACGTTGGGGTGCGAGTCTCGACCTGTGAGCTTCTCGCCTACGGATCGGCTCAGAACGCGAAGTCCTGCACTCGGGCGCTCCTCGAACCCAGTGCTGCAGGCTATCACAAATTGTGAGGTTATTACTCTGGGCCCCATACTGTCCCGAGCTGCCAGACGTTCGCCGCGCGGATGGATTTGGTCGACGACTCCAGGGAGGGCTCCTTCGAGGCCACTGGTGCGATCTCCTTCGACCCAGAGGACGGCTGCGGATCCATTGGCTCCGCCCCCGTCGTTTGCCTCGCCCACATCGTGTTCTGACCGTCTCTCTTATCAGATGCAGGCCTGCGCCATAACTCTTGATCATGACAGAGCGTGTGAATGTCCTGTGAACCCGAGTCCCTCCAGCGCTCCTGTAGCCTCGTGCGTGGTCTCATTGGCCTCTCCCGCCCACCAGCCGCTCAGGCGTGCTCGCCCCCGCTCGCCTGCTCCCTGCCCCAACAGTGCTCGCATCTCGTCGTGCCCCGCTGGCCTGTTTTGGGTCCGCTGTTTCGGTTATACTTCTCCCTCTGATGCGGAGGATCTCCGCTCACCCCAGCTGGGAAATGAGAACAGGAGGTCTAGCGCTGTCAACTGTCTGACCTCTGGCTCGTTGCACCTGCCCTCTCCTCCCCCTCCTGGTCCTTCGCTCGCGATGACTGCCGATGCTGTTGCTTGCCCCTCGCCCTCTTCCTTGCCCCACCGTGCGCAGGTCTTCGGTCCTGCCCAGCCGCCATGCTGCCTGAGCTCTGATCTTTGCTTTCCAGCTGTCACCAGTGCCGTCGCCCCCAGCTCACCACCCGATATAAATTCGGCTGCGCTGGATGCGGCCACCCTCCTGACGCTGGGCGCGGAGGACGCACCTGGCGCCCCGCCGCCCTTGCCCCCGCCGCTGTAGGTGGGAGGACACGCGGCCCCCTCTACGCTCGTCTCCTCCTTCTCTTCTTCCTCCTCCTCCTCCTCCTCCTCCTCCTCCTCATCATCATCATCAGCATCAGCATCAGCATCATCGGGAGGAGGAGGGGGAAGGGCCCTCGTGGGACGGTCTTGTGGCGCTCTTGGGCGCGCTCGGGGCCGTCTTGGGGCCCTCTTGGGAGCCCTGGATGGCCTCTTGGGGCTATCGTGGAAGGCGTCGGTGAAAAGAGAGGGGTCACAACGAGTCGTAACGTTGCCCCCCTCCCCCCTCTTCCCCTGAGGCCATCAAAATCGCCTCTTGGGGCGCTCCGGGGCCGCTCTTGGGCGCTCTTGGGGCCGTCTGGGGGGCCTCTTGGACCTCTCTTGGGCCATCTTGGGCGCATCGAAAGCGAACAGGCGAGAAGGCAAATATCACTGATGTGCTGTAGGTGATTCGAGGATTTGGGCCTCTTGGGGAGGTCCTGAGGGGGCTCCGAAAGCACGTGGGGCTGTCTTGTGACCCTCGTCGGGCCTCTCGGAGGTATGCCAGAAGTTATATTGAATCATCGCCATCTATTTTGCGCCATCTTGGAGGCCATCTTCGAGCATCGGAGGCCCTATTGGAGACATCTTGGGCGAAAAAGGGACCTTGAACAACCAAAAACCTCATGGAAGGGAGGAGGAGGGTACCCCTCCCCGAAGGGAAGAGGGTTTGGGAAGAGGAGAGAGACAGAGCTCGCTAAACCACCCCAGCCTAAATGGCTGGTGGGAGTCTGAGAGTTGGGGTGTGAAACGAGGTGGGAATTTGCCGAGATGTTTCAGGACGGTCAGAGGGGAGAGACAATGCTGGTGACGGTAATGGTGGTCATGCTTTGGTGCATGCCGTGACGATATGGATAATGTTGGTGACGATGGTGATGGTCGTAATGTTGAATGTGTTGTTGTTGATGTTGATTATGCAGGTGATGATGAAGCTGACGATGATGATGATACTGGTGATGATGATGATGATGACGACGTTGATGATGATGACGATGATGATGATGACGATGACGATGGTGATGCTGATGGTCATGCTGATGTTGATGCTGATGATGACGACGATAATACGTTTGTATGATTGTATGGTTATGCTGCTGCTGATGATGATGGTGGTGGTGATGATGATGAGGTTGATGATGATGACGACGACGACATGGTGGATGCAACCATGGCAGCGACGTTGACATAGGTTATGTTGCTGACTCAGGCGATGGTGGCGACGCGGCAATCATGATGATGAGGAAGGACCATTATTGTGTACGTCAAGTGCTTGAGTGTGTGAGTCTGCTGGTGTTGTTCAAGGAACCTCTCCGACAAGTGTTCTACTCTCAAGCCGACGGCACAAGACCGTCATTTGGACCAACCCGCAGACTCTGCGCAGCCCCCGAGCGATCCCTCGCGCCGCACGCCGCGCGATGCCCGCCACTCTGCTGATGAGCGGACTCAGCTGGGGCAAGAGCCCTGCGCATGGCGAGGCTGGCGCCAAGCCTGGCAGCCCGGGCGCCGCCGAGGACGCCGCCGATGAGGCCAAGATTGGATGCTGCCTCTTCTGGATGGCGGGTAGCAGCCTCCACAGGACTTCTGAGGGTCCAGCCTGCTCTAGCCTCGACCGCCAGAGAGAACTTCGAGCACCAGGAACGTACAGCAACTGCAGGGTTTTCATGTGTCGGGCCCTGGGGGTTTGATACTCGTTCGACACTGTCTCGATACTCTTCCGGGTGCTCGAAATCGTCTCTGGGACCTGGTCCGCAAGCACGCTGGGAGCAGCTCAGCGCAGGACCAACATGGAGGCCCTGGCCGCGCTGCATACCGAGCTGGCGGAGTGCGTGGGCCTCCTGGGCGCAGAGATCCTCGAGGCCAACGCGACCTCCGGCCTCATCCTGTGCACGCCGGCCTCCGGCCTGCTCCGCTTCCAGGAGCCGGGCTCGGGGACGGCGGGCGGGCCGGAAGCCCGGGATGGGCTCGGGACGGCCGCGCGCGGCGCCCGGTGCAGCCTCCAGAGCCGCCCGATCTCAGAGATCCCCGACTTGTCCTGGTGCGATCGGGTCCCGGGCCTGGCTTCAAGTCGGGCACGTCCCTCTACAGAGGGGGGGATCTTCAAAAATAGTCAATAGCTAGCCTGGGGACGATGTTTCTCTTATTCCCTACCTAGGCTCTGCCTAGAGGGTTCTTACTCTCTTAGCTTAAAGGGGCCGGGCAGTGTAAAGCGCCCCGGGCGGTTCCCCCAGTCCCCGCCCCGCGGTTCCCCCAGTCCCCTGGGAGCTTTAGCTTTAGCTTTAGCTTTAGCTTTAGCTTTAGCTTTAGCTTTATCTTAGCTTTAGCTTAGCTTTAGTTTTAGCTTAGCTTTAGCTTAGCTTTAGCTTAGCTATAGCTTTAGCTTTATATTAGCTTTAGCTTAGCTTTAGCTTAGCTTTAGCTTAGATTTAGCTCAGATTTAGCTTAGCTTTAGCTTAGCTTTAGCTTAGCTTTAGCTTAGCTTTAGCTTAGCTTTAGCTTAGCTTTAGCTTAGCTTTAGCTTAGCCTCAGCTTAGCTTTAGCTTAGCTTTAGCTTAGCTTCATCTTAGCTTGAGCTTAGCTTCGGCCTAGCTTTAGCTTTAGCTTTAGCTCCAGCTTAGCTTTAGCTTAGCTTTAGCTTAGCGTTAGCTTAGCTTTAGTTTAGCTTTAGCTTAGCGTTAGCTTAGCTTTAGCTTAGCTTCAGCTTAGCTTTAGCTTAGCTTTAGCTTAGCTTTACTGTTACTACTAATGCTGCTTTCCTAGGGGCTCCACTTCCTAGGTAGGGTCGCACTGGGATATTTTTTTATTTTGGGAGTATCATGGGAATCTTTATGTTTCGCCAGAAGTCCGCCTTTAGGGGACACGCCCGACCTAAGCCTGGCTTTGTCTAATTATCTCACCGAGCGCGTTCCACGACCCGCAGAGTGCCTACTCGCAAACGTCGGACACAACAACTCACCTGCTCGCCTCGCCGTACAACGGATCGTGCAGCCCCCGCGGCGGCTCCAGGCCATCGGCGAGCAGTTGCTTTCTGCGGGTCGTGGAGAGCGCCTGTCTACCTTTAGGTCGGGCGTGTCCCTCTACAGGAGGAGTATTCCAAAATAGTCAAGCCATAGTCTGGGGACGATTCCTCTACAATTGTTCTGCTACTTTTGAGAATTGTTTGACCTTTTCTTTCATGATTCGCCAAAAATCCGCCTGTAGGAGGACATGCCCGACCTCCTCCTCCTCCTCCTCCTGCTGCTCCTGCTGCTGCTGCTGCTGCTCCTCCTTCTCCTCCTCCTTCTCCGTCTCCTCCTCCTTCTGCTGCTCCTCCTCCTCCTGCTGCTCCTCCTCCTGCTGCTGCTGCTACTGCTCCTCCTGCTCCTTCTCCTCCTCCTCCTCCTCCTCCTCCTCCTCCTCCTCCTCCTCCTCCCTCCTCCCTCCTCTTCCTCCTCCTCCTCCCCCTCCCTCCTCCTCCTCCTCCTCCTCCTCCTCCTCCTCCTCCTCCTCCTCCTCCTCCTCCTCCTCTCCTCCCTCTCCTCCTCCTCCTCCTCCTCCTCCTCCTCCTCCTCCTCCTCCTCCTCCTCCTCCTCCTCCCCCTCCTCCTCCCCATTGTCCTCCTCTGCGAGCCCTTCAGGAGCACATGAGCGCCGAGGACGCGGCCGTGCGGCTGGGCCAGCTCCTCTGCCGCTGGGCCGGGCAGGGCGCGCAGGCCGCGCTGCGCCTGCGCGTCGCCGTGCACACCGGCGAGGTTGTGGGCGACCCAACAGGGGGTGCAGCTAGAGGTTTCTCCGAAGGGCTTAGGCGATCCTCCTCCTCCTCCTCCTCCTCCCTTTTCCTCCTCCTCCTCCTCCTCCTCCTCCTCCTCCCTTTTCCTCCTCCTCCTCCTCTTCCTCCTCCTCCTCCTCCTCCTCGGGTCGCCTACGACCCCGGGGGAAACCGTGAAGGTCCAGCTGAAATGGGGTGGTGCAATAGATTTGGGGCAATTGTATCGCAAACGTACTGCGCCGGAGAATTGCGATGCATTGTTTTGCAAGTAATGCATAGCACGCGAAAACCCAGCAATACATGTGCGCCCCGGAATGTACTGCACGCCCCAAATATATTGTATATATATGTGTGTGTATATATATATATATATATATATATATATATATATATATTGCACCACCCCCTTTCAGCTGGACCCCCTTTTGGGTCAACCCGAGAGGTGAGGCAACTCGAGCTGCCGGGCAGCGGGCGCCGGGCGTTTTTTGGCCCTGCCGTGGAGGCGTGCAAGAATTTGGTGCTCGCGGCGGAGCAGGACTGGCGGCGCACACAAGGGTTCAGAGGAGGAAAAAGTGTGAAAAAACAGTGTGGCACTTGTTTTTTACCGCACTTGTTTATCACACATGTTTTTTGATCACACTTGTTCGGAGCATCGTTGCCGTGCCATCGCAGCGCATGATTGCGATATGTCCCCGCATGTTTTTTATCACATTCGTTCGGAGCATCGTTTCCGTGCCAGCGCAGCGCATGATTGCGATACGCGCCCGTACCGCTACCCTTCCATCGTCTTCCCCTTTGTGGGCCTCCTGGGGGCTGGGCTCGCCCCGAGAGTCTGGTCAGAACGCACCCCGGAGAGGTCAGGGGAGCAGCAGTGTCGGTATACCCTTCCCGGTTTCCTCGAGAGCCTGCCGCCCGGCGCGAGGGGGGCGGCCTCTCAGAAGGAGCCCGGGCCGGGGACTTCTTGGAAGCCGCGCGGGCTTTACAGGAGCCGTCTCAGAAGCCTCCTCCGAGAGGGGGGAGGAAGAGGAGGAGGAGGAGGAGGAGGAGGAGGAGGAGGAGGAGGAGGAGGAGGAGGAGGAGGAGGAGGGGAGGAGGAGGAGGAGGAGGAGGAGGAGAGAGGGGGAGGAGGAGGGGGGAGGAGGAGAAGGAGGAAGGGGGAGGAGGAGGAGGAGGAGGAGAGGGGAGAAGGAGGAGTAGGAGAGGTGGAGGAGGAGGAGAAGGGAGGAGGAGGGGAGGAGGAGGAGGAGGGGGAGTGAGAGAGGAGGAGGGAGAGGAGGGAGGAGGAGGGGGGAGGAGGAGGAGGAAGGAGGAGGAGGAGGAGGGGGAGGAGGAAGGAGGGCCCCCGCCTTCCACGTAAGAGCCGCCCGGCCTTCCTGGAAGGCTGCCCCCGTGGCGCCGCTCCCTCGCGCGCGCCGCCGGCAGGAGGCGACCGTGCACCTCTCGGGCGAGGCCAAGGGCAGGTTGCGCGTCATGAGCGGCGAGCGCATGCGCCTCTCTCGGAAGGGCGGGTCCTACTACCTCGAGGGCGGCGCCGAGGCGCACCTCGCCAGCGCGAAGGCCCGAAGAGAAGCAACAGCACCGCATGGTAGATGCTTGGGGGCACGTGCGGATCTGTTGTTGATCGGCGCGTGCCTCCGAACGCTTCTGCTCATGTGTTTGTGTCTTCTTCTACGAAGGCGGCGACCGGGCAGTCGCTGGCAGAGTTCGTGGCCGAGGGCTTCACGGCCAGGCCCGGGAACGCCCGCGAGGCCGTGTGGGCTGTGGACGATTCCGAGAGCAGCGTCCTGGAAATGTCCTTCGCAGAGTTCAAGCAGCACCTGCAGGATCACAAGGCAGGCTCTGTTTCGAATCCGATCGATCCGATCCCGACGTCCCGACGATCCGATGCTGCCCGATGCTTGCGTGGCGTTGCCGTGTACCTTGGCGTTGCCGATCTGAATTCGATTTCGACTCCGTGCCGATGCAGCCCAATCCGACGTACACTGCGATTCGATTCGATGTCCCGGTTCGGTGCTGACTGATCTCATCTGATCCTGCAAGGCGGACGTCCGGAAGTTCGGCAGCGGCGATGCGAAGACGCTTCGCGAGCTCTACGGCGACGTGGTGGTCGAGAGGGATTCGTCGCTCCACGTAGAGGGCGGCGTGCTGGAGAGGCACAAGGAGATCGTGAGGATCCAGCTCCTGATGCGTGGCGACGACTGCAGGCTCCGCGAGCTCAGGATCGACTCGCAGGCGCGCCCCGACGGCACTCTGAGGAAGCGGGACCAGAAGCTGGCCATGGTCTTGAAGGTCCACGAGGGCCAGCGATGGAAGGACGGCCTGCAGGAGTGCTTCGAGGCCAAGTTCGGGCTCGGCAAGGCCGACCAGAGCAATTGTCTCTCCGTGGACTGGGACAGCTACAGGTACGCAGAGGAGGAGAAAGTCTCGCCGACCGTCCCCGGGATCAAGACGAGGTACAGGGTGCACGACGTCACCGTGAACGTCCGGGACAAGGCCCGCCCCGAGCTGGCCAAGCTGGGGCTCCCGTGCGGCGACGACTTCTCCACGGAGAACAGGGGAACGAACAACGACACAGACAGAAAAGCTCGGTGGTCCGCGCGGATTTCTCGCATCCGCGCTGGACCCCCCCTCCCTGGCGCGCGGAGCGCGCCAGGGGCGGCGCCAGAGGCGCTGCCAGGGGGGCCCCAGCGCCGATCCGAGAACTCCGCGCGGACCTCCGAGTTCTTCTGTTTATGCCATCGTTCATTCCCCCAGAGAAGCTGACCGGGGAGCGCCGCTGGAAGTGGGCCCTGGTCCTCCTCCTCCTCCTCCTCCCTCCTCCTCCTCCCTCCTCCTACTTCTTCTCCTCCTCCTCCTCTGGTCGTGGACGAGAGCTCCTCCTCCTCCTCCTCCTCCTCCTCCTCCTCCTCCTCCTCCTCCTCCTCCTCCTCCTCCCCCTTCTCCTCTGGTCGGGGACGAGAGCGAGACCGCGCTGCTGCGCAAGCTGAGAGCCGCCGGCGCCGACCTCGCCGGCTTCGCGCCCCGGGCCTTCGGCGAGCTGCACGACGAGGTCGTCCGGTCCTGCCAGGCGTCGCTGGAGGTGCTCGGCTGTGCGCGCAGGAGGGGGCCTTCGCAGGAGGGGCCTTCTCTGGTGCGGGCCCACCGGGGGTTGCCGCGGCATCGACCTGCGCGCTCGGACATGTTCAGCCCCCTCCCCCCCCCCGTCTCCCTCCCTCCCCATCCTCCCCCCCCCTCCGCTCGCCTGAGGCCGCGGCAACAGGAGAGGCCCGCTCTTGCCCCTACGGCGCAGTTGACGTACCCCGCCCCCCCCCCCCCTCCCCACCCCCTCCCCTTCCTCCCCTCCTTCGCCTAAAACGCCGCGCACGAGCAAACGCCGCATCCTGGAAGGGTCGCCCCTTGTGCGTGCCTGCGTGTAGCCAGAGGTTGTCGACGGCGAGCTGCTCCGCAAGGTCCGCATCGTCAAGGTCTGGCTTCATGCCGACATCCTGGCGGCGGACCACGTGCTGTTGCTAGGCTCGAAGATCCAGTGGGGCCAGACCGACGACTCTATCAGGGGGCGCCCGCTGGCGATGCGGACGCCGAGGGGCCAGACTTGGCAGAAGGCTGTCGAGACCATGCTCCACAAGCGGCTTGGGATGACGCCAGAGACGCAGCTGAGCTGCATCGCCGTCGACCCCGAGTCCCACAAGCAGAGCGAGGAGCGAGGGCCTTCGCGGTCGTACCCGGGGGTTCAGACAGTGTACCAGATCGACGAGGTGACCGCTCGCGTCGTCGTGAACGAGGTTGATGCAGCGACCTTGCACCGCATCGGCTTGCCCGATGGCCAGAACTTCTCCTTCTCCAGGTGGGAGCCCGCCAAGGGGCCGGGCACGGGCGATCAGACCATCATGCACTGGACGTGGCAGAGCACGAAGGACATGTCCGCCCCGCGGGTGCTGCGCGCGCCGTCCATGACGGACAAGGCCTCCCAGGCGTGGTGGGCGGAGATGCGCGAGAAGCGCCGGCACCTCCTGGTCCCCGACATGGACGGCGCCCCGCTCGCTCAGCCCCGGGCGTCCTGGTGGCCGTTGGCCAAGGTCGAGGAAGAACAACCGCCACGAGCAGAAACTTTTTGGCGCTCCGCGCGGGTTTCTCGGATCCGCGCTGGGCCTCCCCCCCCTCGGCGGCGCCTCCGGCGCGGCCCCTGGCGCGCTCCGCGCGCCAGGGAGGGGGGTCCAGCGCAGAAGGGATCCGCGCGGAGCGCCAAACAGTTCATGTGTATGGCGTTTGTTTCCCCTTCCACGAGGGCACGGCGCTGGAGGTCCTGATGAGGGGGCGGAAGATGGACATGAGGAGGGCGAGGCGGGCCGCCCGGGAGATCTGCAACCCCGACTACACCTGCAAAGACTTCTATGAGGACCTGTACCGCCGCCTCCTCCTCCTCCTCCTCCGCCTCCTCCTCCTCCTCCTCCTCCTCCTTCTCCACCTCCTCCACCTCCTCCGAGGACGTCACCGCCGCCTTCCCGGAGATGAACCTGTACCTCGTGGGCGACATGACCAGCGGGCGCGCCGGAGAGGACGAGTACCAGCGCACGCTGGGCGCGATGTTCTGCTTCTTCTGGCTCATGCGGCTGCACCTGGACGGGAGCCAGTGCTTCTGCTTCGGGCTGGACGAGAACTGGAAGGCACGCTCAAGTCGGGCCTGTCCCTCTACAGGAGGAAGTGTCCCAAATCGTCAAAACATAGTATGGGGACGACTTTCTGAGCATGTTTAAACTATTTCTGAATAGTTGTTTGATATGTTTTATGTTTCGTCCAAATCCCGCCTGTAGGGGACATGCCCGACCTAAAGGCACGCTCGAGGCCCTTCGATTGCAGCCAGGCCGCGGCCGACGAGTGGCAGCGCCGCAGCGCCTTCCACCGGGACACCGAGTGGGCCTCGCTGGACCAGCTGCTCGTGAACGCGGGGCTCCTCGAGGAGTCGACGGGGACCAGCGACATGGCGCGCAAGAGGCTCGCCGCCAGAAGCGGGCGCACGCCCACCGCTGCGGGGCTCTGCCCGGGGGCCCCGAGGAGTGGTGGAGCGTGTTTCTTGATTGCTTGGGGCATAAGGGGCACCATGGCCCCCATAGCCCCCCTCCCCCCCTCCCCCCCCCCTATAACGGAACGCCCCTCCCCCCCAGTGCGCTCTGGGCACTGCCGCCGTGCGCATCGGGCACGGGGCGGGGGTGAGGCGCTACATTATAGTTACCCCCCCCCTTCCCCCTTCCCCCCCTGTAATGCCCATTGTCGCCGAAAACGAAGAACCGCGCTCGTGGATGTGGGCTCTCTCCCGCCCTCCGGGGCGGGCCTGCGTCCCCACCCGCCGCTCCCCGCGGCCCACGGGCGGGCCCCTGCAGCGGCGCACGCGGCTGCGCCCCGCCCCGGCGGCGAGAGGAGCTTCCTGGCCCTGGCGTCCAAGAGGGCGAAGGGCATCCGGCGGCACAGCGAGGACCGCACGCTGGCCATGCTGGTGCTGACCGCCATCCTCGAGGGAGAGAAAGCGACACGAGCATAGACTGCCCGCGCTCCGCGCGGACTCCCTCGGCTCGGCGCGGGACCCCCCCCCCACGGCGCGCTCCGCGCGCCAGGGGGAGGGGGGGGGGGGGGCCCGGGGCAGAGCCGAGAGGTCCGCGCGGGCCTCCCGAAGTGCAGGTCCGCGTGTGGCTCTCTGTCCCTCCGCGTCCACGACATCATGAAGACGGTGCAGCTGCTGCCCACGGCCCGTCGGGGGAGGGCCGGCCGAGGGGGCGGCGGCGGGCCAGGGTGGGCACCAGGAGCAGTGTTTTCTCGGCGGGGGCCATCGACGGGCACCTTGGGGGCCATCTTGCGAAAGGCCCAACACACACGAAGCCCAAGAATGCACGGCGGATGGATGTCCGAGTGGTGGCAGGGAGGGGGCCCGGGTGCGATTCTGAGCGGACTTGGGCCATGCGGGAGGGCCGCGTTGTCTCCGCCGGCCATCTTCCGAGGTCAGCAAGAAGCATGGGGGCTTCCGCGGCTACAAGGTTGGTGAGGTCATCAACGACCACGACGCGGCCCTCGCCTACGTCCTCGAACACAATCCCAGCATTCTGCCCTCCTTCGCGGCCCTGCCCAAGGAGCAGCAAGAGAGCATCAAGTTCACCCAGAGCAAGATGGAGTACAACATGGGATGGCTCGTGCAGGCGGAGGCGCCGCCGGGGGCCCTGTTCCGGAAGTTCCGCCGCGTTGTGACGTCCGGCCAGGCCTCGCCGAGAGATCTGGCCTTCTATTTCACCCACTGGTTCACCGATCTGGCGGGCGCGGAGCCGTTCCCGCAGGAGGGCTGCGAGAAGTTCGTCCTCAAGTTTCCGAAGGCCGTCCTGAACCAGTTCCTGCTTTCCTTCTCCATTGTGCAGAACATCAGCATCGGCACCGAATGTCGCGTGTACGAGGACCTAGGGGGCGTCTGAGGGGTGAGGTCAAAGGGAGGGGGATGAGGAGGAGGAGCAAGAGCAGGAGGAGGAGGAGGAGGAGGAGGAAGAGGAGGAGGAGGAGGAGGGGGAGGAGGAGGAGGAGCAGGAGCAGGAGGAGGAGGAGGAGGAGGGGGAGGAGGGGAGTAGGGGAGTAGGGGGGGGGGAGGTCATGGCCGGGGCCACGAAGACTCCAGGATCTCGTCTTCTGCTAGAACGCGCCCCCTGGTCCCGCCTCGTCCGCGCACGTGCCTCGGGCCAGGCGGCGCGCCCCCCCGCTCCCCTCGCAGGGCTCGCTTCGATCCCTCCGAGTGGATCCGCCTCGACCTCGATGGCCTCCGATTCCTGCTCGATTCGACTCGACCTCGATAGCCTCCGGTTGGATCCGGCTCGACCTCGATGGCCTCCGATTCCTACTCGATTCGACTCGACTTCGATCCCTCCGAGTGGATCCGGCTCGACCTCGATGGCCTCCGAGTCCTACTCGAGTCGACCTCGGAGTCCGCTGTGGGACCCGGTCTCCTGCTGGAGGCCCACCTGCCTGCCGGTCTCCGCCGCCTCACACCTCTCTCCCGGCGTGGCCGCCGGCTGCCGCGCCCCTCCCGCTCCGCGTCGGTCGCCGGCATCCGACTCGTGGAGGCGACTCGGGGCTCTCCTGCCCCTCGTGGAGCCGACTCATGGAGCCGACTCGTGGAGCCGTCTCGTGGAGCCGACTCGTGGAGCCGACTCCACCTCTCCCGACGCGGCCGCCGGCTTCCGCCCATCCCTGTCCGCGTAGATCGCCGGCAGCCGACTCGTGGAGGCGACTCGGGGCTCTCCTGCCCCTCCTCCTTCGGGAGGGAAAGGAAACACACAGACACAATTCATCGGCGATTCTCCAGAAGATATGGGAAGATATGGGAGGTGGGGGGGGAAGACAAAAACTCAGAAAGTATAGCAAAATGTGGGGACTGCTTTTATCTGTGTGTATTTCTTTGTGCGTCATGGGGCCCCTTCACTCCTGCCCCCCCCCCTCTGCGGCGCGCTCGGAGGACTACCTGGTCTGGCGCTGGGACAGCCACAAGCCGTCCCTCGGCCCAGCGCCGCAGGGCAAGGGCGCCATCGCCAAGCTGCGCCTGGTCACGATGGCGCAGGGCGACAGCGCGGCCGTGCTGCAGGCGCTGGAGCGCCTGCCCGCGGAGGACCGGGAGGTCCTGATCGACGAGCTGTCCAATGTGGACATCTGGAACCAGCACTGGGCCCGAGAGCAATCTCGGGCCGGGCGAAAGGGGGGGACTGGGAAAGGGGGGGTTACGAAATTTGCTGCATGCAGCTGGTTTCGGCCTCACCGAGGGGCCCATTCCTCGATACATAGCCGCCTCCGGCGCCGGGAGGCGCCTGGAAAATCAGCTACGTGAGCTGATATTCAAACCCCCCCTTTGCTATCCCCCCCTTTCGCCCGACCCGACAATCCGAGATGAAGGGCCCGGCGATCCTCGTCTACTACGCCCCTGCGCTGATGCAGAAGGCCGGCAAGGAAGACCCGGGCAGGGCGCTGGCGCTGCTGGCGGAGGTCTTCCGACAGGCGAGGGCGCTGTGGCCGCTGGAGGAGCGGGCCAGGAGCTGGTGGGTCTCCGTGCGCGTGGACCAGCTCAAGGAGCTCTCCCTCGAGGGCGTCGAGCATCCGGGGGGCGGGAAGGTCTGGACGGTTGCGAAGCTGACTTCGCGAGAGGGGGCAGTGCAGCTGGTGTCGCAGTGCGAGACCAGCAAGGCTGATTGGGCTGCTTCCCACAGGATCATGAACGTGCACCGCGCGGCCATCGGGCAGTAGCCTCGAGTCGAGTGTGCATGGCGGGTGATGCATGCTTAGTCCACGCATCGCTGTCCAATTATACACAGCGACAGTGCTGACGGGATCAGACATGAGGCTGCACATGCCAGTCAATCAGTATCTGCTCTTTCGATCGGGCACCGCAAAAAAAAGCATCGTTGGGCGGTGCCGCCAGGTTTCCCCCCTGATTGCAGGTGGCGCCTGCATTCGGGCTGCTCCCCCGGCCGTGTCGCGGGATTTGCACGCTGCATGACGGCCCGCGTTTGGGCAAGCACACGTAGCTTTCGTAGCATCAGTCGCGGTCATCGTAGCAGAAACGGTAGCAATATTGGTCGTCACCTCCGAACTGATGGTCGCAGAGTTCCAACAGAACGTGGTGTTGATGGCGGCAATCGTAGCAGTGATCACAGTAAGGACTAAGTACTACATGACGTTCTCAGTTGGAAGGGTCCTAAGGGTCACAGGGGCATCCGGAAACCGGCGGCAGTTCTACGCCTCGATGCGCCCGTGAGGAGCCAACGAGAGAACAGGACCGCTCGAGAAGCGGGGGATGAGGAAGGGACGGAGAGGCGAGGTTGGATGAGTTTGCAGACGGGCTTGGGAGATGAGGGTCAGCAGCTGTACTGTCCGCAAAACGAGGGCCGAGCTGGAAAGCACGAGGTGCTCATCGCCTGCTCTTCGGAGCCGGCGGCCTCCTGGACACGGCCCCCGACGGCCCAACACGCTCTGCAGAAAAGTCACCTGTTGGCACATGGCTGCCCCAACAAACACACACAGACACACACACACACAGACACACACACCACGTTGTTTGTTGTTGTTTCTCTTTTTCCCTCGGCGAGGACCCTCGAGAGGATCGGAGCGCTCCCGATCGGCCCTGGAGCGCTTGCTGGGCACATGCGGATGCTCATCTGCGGGCACGCGTGTGTGCGTGTGTGTGTGTGTGTGTGTGTATGTATGTGTGTGCGCGTGTGTTTGTGTGTGTGATGTGATGTGTGTGTGTGTGAGTGTGTGTGTTTGTCTATATATAGGCGTGTGTGCGCACACAAGTTGTACAGCGAGGTAGAACTACGGGTGAATGCGATCATGAGTATGTTGGTAGTCTTTTGGCTCATGCCTTTTGCCCCAAGCAGTCTAAGGACCCAAACCCCGAGCGACTGAATATGTGGAGCAAGACATACACGGATGCGCTGGCACATTGATTGGACCTCATTTGATGCGCGCAAGGCTCCGAGAGTCTCGATCAGGTCCCGGTTCCATCAAAGAGGCCATCAAGAAGTGCGGAAATACACAACAATGGAGGACAGCGTTGCGTTTGCTCCGAGAAGCGTCACTCTTACGCACGGAAGTTTGCTGGGGCCAGTACATTGAGACTGTCGGTATATGTGGGAAAAGCAGGCAGTGGCAACAGGCGCTGTCACTCCTCACGCACATGTGTGAAAAGATGCTGAGACCCAACGCCATCACTTGCAGCGCTGGCATCACCGCGTGCGAGAGAGACGGACAATGGCAGCAGGCGCTGGCCTTGCTCAGCGAGATGTCTGAGGAACTGTTGGAGGCCAACGTCTTCAGCTACAGCGGTGGGATCAGCGCGTGCGGGAGAGGTGGGCAGTGGCAGCGGGCTTTGTCGCTGCTCGGCGAGATGCGGGAGAAGAAGGTGGAGCCCAACGCCGTCCGTGCTGCAATACCACGCCCAGTGAGCGAGAGGCAGGCCGAGATGGGCCGCCCCTCCCCCCAGCCCCTCCCCCTGGCACCCTGGAGGCCCCCCCCAGGCACAAACATACAAAGAAAGACAACATCTTGGAGCCCCCTCCAGGATGAGGAGGAGGAGGAGGAGGAGGAGGAGG